AAATGAACTCGACCTTATTTGTGCCAGAACAAAGCATTAGTGGGGGCGGGGTAGGAGAAGAGGGAGGAGGGATGCTTAAAAAAAAAAAAAAAAAAAGCCTGCTGGAGTGACAGATAACTTGAGAGAACTTCCTTACTTGGGAAAAACTTTATAATAACTAAAGAATGATGGCCAAATTACTTTGGCTGTGTTCAGGTTAGACACTTTTTGATGCCTATCACTTCATAATTTTAGCAGCAATCAAACCAAACACTTCATTAAATATAAAATGTTCTCAAAAGGCAGTTAGTGGTTTTAATTTTCAAACACACTTATTTAGAAATCCCCTCTCATGGCTGTCAATGAAATGCTGAGGGAAAAACACATCACACACAGGGACTTTGTGAGTCTCAGAAGCCATAACACACCTCATGAAACAAATGACAAATATATGATTGGTACTGCAGGTTCCAGTTAAGAGGAAGCACTGAAGATGAACTAGTCAGGAAATATGAATGTTTAGAATTTCAAGATGTTAAACTGCCAAATAAAGGAAATCAACCAACATTCACTATTTTTCCTAGTCTCTGAAGATGGAACTACTCAGGTCTAGTTTCAGATATGGGCTAAAACAAAGAGATCTAGTTGCCAAGTTTGAAATATCTGAGGATCCAGCCTTGAAAAACTTCATGTTAAACGAGACAAATATATGTAAAGCACTTGGTATTGCATCCACCATGCAATATATGTTTAATGAAGGCTGGGCATAATTTTTCTCAAAGCCTTTATATGTAACAAGTACTCAAAATACAGATATTGACAAGGAATAAGATGAGGTTTAAATAATTATTAGAGGCTATATATTAAGCCAGAGATCTATCTAGTTTTTAAAGTTTAGGTTGGGTCCAGTGGTTCATGCCTGTAACCCCAGCACTTTGGGAGGCTAAGGTAGAAGGATCACTTTAGTCCAGGAGTTTAAGACCAGCCTGGGCAACATATTGAGATCCTGTCTCTACCAAAATTTAAAAATTTAAAAATGGGCATTGTGGCGTGCACCCATAGCCCCAGCAACTCAGGAGATTGAGATGGGAGG